ACCTGTGTGAGACCACTGTGGTACAGATGCACTGTGATACATGTCTTGTCAACCTGTGTACAGCTTGTGTAGGAATACACTTCTCTGCTGATCTCTCAAAACCTCACACAATCGTTGATTTCAAGGACAGAAAATCCACTCCTTTATACCCTGGATGTAAATTTCATAACAAACAACAATGTACAATGTACTGTAATCAATGTGACATTCCTGTTTGTACGAAGTGCATTGCATCTGATCAACATTTAGGTCATAAGGTATCAGAAATCTTACAAATTGTGGATGAGAAAAAAGAAAATATTATCAAAGAACAAACTGAACTAAATGAAATAATTTACCCAACCTACCAGGACATTGCTTCTGATGTACAAAACAGAATGAGTCAGTTAGAAAAGGAATATGGAGATCTCTCAACAGCCATAACAAAACATGGAGAGGACTGGCACAGAGAAATTGACAAACTTGTCCAAAAACTCAAAGCTGAAGTTGATGAGATGAAAAACACACAGTTACAAACTCTACAGAAACATCTTGATGAAATAAACAAGACAATGTCTGACATCAAGGATGAAATTGATTCAATTGATCTTGTTGAGGATTCTAATAACATTTCAAAACTATTTAGTTTTACGAGCAATGTAGATAGATACAGAAATTTTCCACAGAAAATTTTGCCATCTTTGCCTAAATTCACTCCAAGCAGAATTATTGGAGGAGAACTTCGTAAAATGTTTGGAACCTTATCATCAAGTTCTTTGACTTCAGACAAACATGGCTACAGAATGAAGACAACACAGAAATTACCAGAAGCTGGATCCTCTCCTCCAGTCAAACAGCTGCTTGATGAACAAGAGACTGTAACCGCCATAGACACTGGATATGGAGAGCTTTACAATGTGGCCTGTCTGAGTGATGAAGAAATCTGGACAAGTGGAGGTGACAGCACCGATGAAACTCTACAGCATCGATCAGGGATCACTGCTCAAGTCAATCACAACCAAGTCAGGGAACATGCCACGGGACATAGCAGTGACAAAGAGTGGAGATTTAGTTTATACTGATTACAGTGATAGAACTGTGAACATTGTGAAGAATGAGAAGATAGAGAAGGTGATCAGACTACAGAACTGGAAACCTGACGGTGTCTGCAGTACCTCCTCTGGTGACCTCCTGGTTATCATGATCAGTGATGACAACAAACAATCAAAAGTTATCCGTTACTCTGGCTCCACAAAAAAACAAACCATTCAGTTTGATGATCAAGGTAAACTACTTTATTCATTACCAATAATAAAATATGCAACTGATAAATTCTGGAACGTAACTGAGAACAGGAACCTGGATATCTGTGTGTCTGACAATATAGCTAGAGCAGTAGTGGTGGTCAATCAGGCCGGGAAACTGAGATTCAGGTACACTGGACATACTCCTGCTTCAAAGAACCAACCATTTATACCACGAGGAATCACCACAGACAGTCAGAGTCACATCCTTATAGCTGATGATAACAATGAGTGTGTCCACATCATAGACCAAGATGGACAGTTCCTCTGTTACATAGACTGTGGACTGAGTGATCCCAGAGGACTGTGTATAGATCTAAATGACAATCTGTTTGTTGCAATATTACAAAAAAAAGTTAAGAAAATCAAATATCTCCAATGAAATCCTAATCCTGCTAAATTAAAGGAAAATACTAGTAGGTGCATCTTTACTCTATTATTATTGTAATACAACAATACTTGTTTTATAATATACCATCAATGTTACGAGGGCCGTTCAAAAATTACGTGGACTTGTTGCACAGAAGAAATATTTGACGACGTAATCTGGCAAAATTTCACAAATAATATAAAAGAATCATTACTTATATGGTCTTCAAAATTTCATATCAAAATGTTGTTAATTGGTATTAATTTTGAGTGATTTTTCAGGACATACCATAAAGTCACGCAAAATCTTCAACGTCACAAGCATTATAAAAAATATGTGATTGAGCTTTCATTTTCTCAACATTTTCCCTCGAGTACCAGTATAGTTTGAGTTACCTTATCTATTCAACACCAAAACACCATTTCTTGTCAAGCTTAAAATCTATTAAACAAGTAAAGAATATTCTTTTTTTTGTTTTAAAACCAAAAACTACTTATGAGATATAGTGTGATATTGGTGACTCTCAATCACGTTCTTTACAGTCCGGATCAAGTTAACTTTTCGTCTATAATCTTCTTCCCGTCCTCCCCTATAGCCTTTTTACAGAGGTCTGTCTATGTCGAATGTCACAAGTAGTAAAGTTTACTACATGTTTCATTATGCATATTTTGGATCAATGTTGCCGATATCTCGAGCATTACATAGATTTTAACAAAAGTGTGGTGCACCGTCAATTCAGGATACATCATTTTCACAGTCGTTTTCACGGGAATTGCATCAGAGAAAAATCACTATAATATTTCTGTTAGTACTTCAAATATTACGTCCGAAATCTAAATACATAATAATAGAACAATACAAAGGTTTATTATATAGTTTATTTATAGTCCCTATATAATCTATACAAACGCAAACAGTTCATAACACTACATATTCACCGGATTTTAGGCCGTATTCACCGGAGGGTCAATGCGTGTGCAACGGCATTGTGACGTCACAATCAAAACATCAAACAACGTTGTAAACAATGATTGCAACGGCCGCAGCGAGCTACGTATCTGAGCAGGAAAACATTCAAACCTATTTCAGGATTAATTTTTAACATTTGGACGTCTTACACATAGCGAAACTCAGAACGGAAAACACAGATGTTACAAACAGTAATCTGGAGATTTTTTTGTATTTTCAACAATGAAAGATCGCAAATGAAAATGGTATCGTCATACAGCCTTCAATGTCTTTTTTATTAAAATCCCGGCTATATAATAAAACAATTATGGACTCTTTTGGTGTTGAATATGGTTTGTTATTCACCAGAAAAATATTCATATTGACCTCAGCTTCGCCTCGGTCAATATGAATATTTTTCTGGTGAATAACAAACCATATTCAACACCAAAAGAGTCCATAATTGTATAATATTTGAGAAAATTGTTGAAAAATATCACGAATTTTAGAAAATCAATGAGTTAAATTTTTGAATCTGCATGCTTTTGCATCATTTTTTTTTTGTCTTGCACCGTACCTCTCCATCAACGATATCACATACAGATAATTTTAGTAGAATTTTTTTAAAATACAGAAATTTTGCCCAAAATTTATTGGAATCTTTAAGATACATATTACTGTGAAATTTTATAACTATATGACGTCTGTAAGAGTGAATAATAGCACAGTCCACGTAATTTTTGAACGGCCCTCGTATATCCAAGTTTTATTAAGGTGGAATGCCACACCAACTTTGTAAATAATTTTTTGAATTTTCTTTCAAAAAATACAAAAGAAAAAAAATCATATAAAATAATTTAGAGCTAATGTCGGCCTTTTAGTGCTGAAGCCATTGTTTAAAAAGGTTGACTCAGAGATCTATAAAATAAAAAGTGGGTGTGGCATTCCTCCTCAAATAGACATGTATGTCTCAAGAATTTATTAATCTTTGAGGGAGCTGACTGGGATTTTATTGTGTGAAAACTTCAAAAGAGAAACTCTAATTTTAAATCATATGCAGTTTACAGTGTACATGCCAAGTTTTAGAAAGATCTACCATCTAGGTATTTTTAGAGAATTTCTATGTAGTATTGCCAGATGAAAATTTTCTGAATATCAGAAACAATATTTATGGCTTAACATTATTAATAACTTTGAAAGGAAATTCTAGTAAATTTCAGTCTGGATTGATAATTTACAGGTGTTGTCTAGATAACATCGAGTTATGTCCAAGACATGATATAGTAACAATATCGACACATTACTTTTGTATACTTTACTATAATATTTCTATTGTTGTGTGTCTATTTCAATACTTTCTGTTTTAAGAATATTCTTTACTGTCAATATCTATGATATCATGTTGACATCAAATCATGTTTGTTCAAAGAATTACGGTTTCCATCTTTAATATTACATTTTTATTTAAGATATAAAATATCATTTTTAGAGTGTCATTGGGATATGACATAAAGTCTGTCACGTGATCAAATTCTATAATGCGCGAAGGGCGTTATAGTAGATTTGATCACGTACCGACTTCATGTCATATCCCATTGACACTCTAAAAATGTTATCTTTTTTCTTATATTTATATTTTTATTTCTATTCACATTAAAAAGTTAAAATGCCCTATTTAGAATTTGTTATTGAATGCAACATAACGGATAAATACGATGTCATATGACGTCACAGTCAAGACTTTCCAAATATCTCGTGCAGTTTGCTTTCCATATGCAAGAAAGTCTTATCATTTGACCGACTGCATGTCATCGAAAATTGAATTTCTTTTTTTTTAGTATTGTCATATAAGGAAAGACACTGGCAAATGTAAATATTATGTTTTTAACATGTGTTACTTAAAAACTATCTTTTATAAAACCCTAGGTAAATACTGTCCATGTTACCTTTTGTGTGTGTGTTTATATTTAATCCCTTTACTTTTACGAAGATTGTACCTTCCATCGATATCATCAATATCAATAATATCATATCGATATCGAATCACATTGTTAAAAACATATTACTTTACCAACCTTCACCCTAATAAAAAAAACCTTTATTTTTAGCATATCCCAAGACAGTAACTTCTATTTTTCTTCATGCAACGCTTGTGCATATTTACTTTCTAATTAATAAATTTACCTTTACTTTACCGTCAATATCGTATCGATATGGAATCATTATTGTTAAAACATATTTAACAACTTTCACTCTCTAACCCAACATCTTACTTAACCTAATCCAAAAAACCCTAACCCTTTCTTAATCGTAATTATTTTCATATTCATGCCAATAATAAATCAATTTTGACGTCAAGTGTGACCTTGTAAAATTATTGTGAAAATGAATTGTACAAAAAAGATCGATACAATATTGTCATGGTATTGTCGATACCAAAGACATCGACATAGCACAAAGTCTCGTATGGTAACAAATATTTCCAATCAACAGTACTGATCATGACAGATATCGATATGATATTGACTTAATATTGTCAATATCATCAATATCGACACCGAATTTGTTCTTTGACAATTCATGTATGATAACGTCATGGTGAGGATGTGGGAATATACACTCTGGATTTTACCTGTAAATCTAAATTTCTGCTTCAGTGGTCCACAGATTTCTTCCTCCACGGATGACTGACTTTTTCTGCCTCCGTCCAGAATCCACGGAGTCTGACTCGGAGTGCGGCTGAACTTATTGTATCTACCTGTGGAGGAAACAAAAATAAAGATATGAATTCACATATTTAAGTCTTTTGTTTATTTATTAATAAATACACTGTATAGATCTTCAGGAATTGTTTTGATTTAAAAGACTTTTCTGCCTGTGACCTGCAACTTTTCAAAACAAAGTCAAGATACATGTACTTTTATTTTACGTGCATTTTTTCTCATCATGACACTCCAATATGTATCCATGGTTATCATAAAGTCCATATACAAGGTCCATAAATACTTGCATTGGAATTTATCCTGCAAAGCATTAAGAAAGAAGGTATCATTTTAAAACATCTACTCGGGATATAAATACGGGTTGGTCACGAAATTAATTTTAATCTCATACCAACCCCTATTTATAGCCTGATAGATGTTTTAAAATGATACCTTATAACTTATATTTACACTTGTGACTTATTTATACTTTAAATTTGCCTGATTGTGACTTTTAATGTGTGAAATGCATTATTTTTCAAACCCAACATCATGTATGTAATCCACTGAACGCGCATTTACCCTTTATGACGTCACTGAGAATTATGTAGAGCGTTTATCCATATGCACATCTATGACCTCTTGACCCCATACCTGTATTTATACAGTTATATTTACATCCACTGAATATTTTCTCCTTTATTTCTTAAGAAAACCCATTGCGTTAATCACTGCATGAACTACAGTCTGCATGTCGCCTATACAGATTTCTTGGTCAGAGACGAATCATTAATACATTAATTAATCTTTCTAATCCTACTTTAAATGATTATTTACACAGATATAAATATGAACAATAAAATATCTTTCTTCGTTTGCAGATACAATTTGCATTACCCGCGTAAGCGGGTTATGTATTTTTTCTGCAACAGCTGCTTCTGTTAATTCCAGTAATAACAAACAAAGAAAGCATTTTATTGTTTAAATAGATACACATTGCTTTCAGTAGTGTTATATAAAGGAAAACATTTGCAAATGAAGATATTGCTAAATATACTATGGAAAAATATCATTATGAATGAAAAACAGAAAAAACCTAACCTGCTACAAAGACGGCATCATGCACGCACTTGATCTCTTCACATTTACTGACACTGCTCTCAGTACTCTTTGGGACACTGTAGTTCCTGTTAAATAAATGAGTAATTTATTCGATCAATCCTTGATATCTTGCACCCACCAAGAATAACAAAAAATAAAAGAAATACATTTCAAAGCACTTTCAGCACTTATCATATTTTTTGGTTGATAAATTTCTTTGCAGAATAAGGTCAGATCCAGCATCCCAAGTAAGATTGACAGTGTGCATCCTTTGATGCATCATCCAAACCAGTCTGGT